ATTTTGCAGCAACAGGCTAACATGGCTGACTCCTCTGGATCTGTTTTCTCCAGGGGAACTGATCTCTTTAGTCTGGAGGTGAGCTGTAATTCCGGGGGATCCCCAGGTCCCACCGGGAGGCTGGCGGCCCTAATTGCTGGAGGTGTGTTGCAGATTAGGATTTTAGGGCTTTATCCATGTGGAGTGCATTCATTTTCAAATGCTAGCACCTCGGCTGGCGTTCTCTGTGAAATTATTTTTCCCCTGATGAGTAAAACTCAAGGGCAAGATAAGGTGTAGTGGTTTGGTGTGGTGGTTAAGTGCGCGGACTCTAATCTGGGAGAACCGGGTCTGATTCCCCACTCCTCCACTTGCACCTGGCTGGATGACCTTGGGCAAGCCGTAGCTCTGATAAGAGCTGCTCTTGAAAAAGAGCCATTTCTGTCAGAGTTCTTTCAGCCCCACCTGCCTTACAGGGCGTCTGTTGTGGGAAGGGGAAGGAGTTTGTAAGCTGCTCTGGGACACCTTTGGGTAGTGAAGGGCCATGGGGTATAAATCCAATCTCCTCCTCCTCCTGGAGCAGGTTTTCTTGTTTTCAGCCAAGGAGAGGCTATAAAGTATGCAGTGGTCCCACTGATTCAAAGCAGCTTGAAAACAGAGGCATAGTCCTAAACAGGAACCGAATGGTGTCAGAGACAAAAATGAGCAGGCAGTGGGCTGGTACAGAGTAGTGGTCAGACAGTGACCACAGTGGCGGCTCCCCTCTTCTGCTTTGATTCCCTCTATCATAACACCCCGGGGGAATTTTAATTTACCTTCACCCCTGCAGACAAGACGGTGGTGGTGGAAAATGCCATCAGGTTGCAGCCGACTTACGGCTGCCCTATAGGGTTTCCAAGGCAAGAGATGTTCAGAGGTGGTTTTGCCACTGCCTGCTTCTGCAAAGGGACCCTGGGCTTCCTTGGTGGTCTCCCATCCGGTTCCTAACCAGGACCATCCCTACTTAGCTTCTGAGATCTGACGAGATTGGGCTAGCCTGGGCCATACAGGTCCGGACTCTCAGAAGATGCTTATTTTATACATGTACAAATAGTTTTTATTAAGGGGATTGGCAGAATATGCCACCTTTTGCTTAAGGCCTGGGCAGCCAAGTTATGGCAGAGCACTGCGGTCAGTGAGGGCCTGCGGCACATTTGGATAGGAGGGCTGGTTATGGCGCCGAGTCAAGCCTACGCTACTCCCAGCTTCTCTAAGAACATAAGAGACGCCAGTGTTGGATCAGGCCAAAGGCCCATCCAGTCCAACACTCTGTGTCACACAGTGGCCAGAAATACCAGCTCCATCAGGAGGTCCACCAGTGGGGCCAGGACATTAGAAGCCCTCCCACTGTTGACCCCCCCCCCAAGCACCAAGATGACAGAGCATCACTCGCCCCAAAGCCCCTATCTATACCTTGTGGCTAATAGCCACTGATGGACCTCTGCTCCAAATGCTTATCTAATTCCCTTTTGAAGCCGTCCATGCTTGTAGCCGCCACCACCTCCTGTGGCAGTGAATTCCAAGTGTTAATCACTCTTTGGGTGAAGAAGTACTTCCTTTTATCCGTTCTAACCCGACCGCTCAGCCCACGAGTTCTTGTAATGTGAGAAAGGGAGAAAAGTACCTCTTTCTCTACCTGCTCTAGTGGTGCACTGTGGCTCTAGTGGTGCACTGTGGCTCTAGTGGTGCACTGTGCAGGACAGGTTGGGGAAAGTTCCAAAACCCACCTCAGACTCCACAGTCTGTATGGGTGTCCAAACCTATCCAGAACTCCAGAATCACACATCTATGAACATGTCCTGTACTGAATCAGAGCATTGGTCTACTAACGTTAGTGTTGGACGATAGTAAGATATTGGGGGGGAAATGGTATTTAGCAGGGATAAAATAGTCCAGCAGAGCCAGAGTAAAATAATTCAGACTGAGAGTCCATGTGTGATTAAAATATAAAGTTTTTACTAAATTCTAGCACGGGAAGGGTAACTGGGATGAAAATAACAACAGAGCTAAATTGGCTACATCCTTACTCTACAAAGACAAAACTAGAAGAGAGATTATGGCTGCTCTTCTTCTTCAGAACACCAAACAAAGACGGGAAGAGAAGCCATAAAATGGTAATACACCTTGACACTTTAGTCCCAATCAAATTCCTAGATCAGGGAGAAAATTCCTGGGCTTTCTACATCTAAAGAACATTGGTTACATGAGAAACATGTGACTTCCTGTGAGTAACATAAACAAACATTTAACCCCAGATATACTGAGTGTTTTCAACTTGTAATACCCAACAGTTAGCATTGCCCGCTCTAGGAGCAACTCGTCAGCGTCTGAAGCAGAGGCCTTTCACAGCACTGGCTGCTTGAGCCAGAGCCTGGGATGTTATGGCTGCAGATGATTTTCCCACTGATCCAAGGCCATCATAGATCTGAGAGGTACTGTCTAGATGGATGGTTTTGATTTTTAATGACTAGAGACCGCTAAGAAGGGGTGTGGCATTTAGATGGGGTTGCCAGGTCACTTGAGGCTTGCCTTTTAAGATGTCAAAGATTGGAAAAGTACAGGAAGCATGGTAGCCCTCTTGATCTCCAGCGCAGGATCATTGCCCTCTTTCCAGTGAGTTTTCACTGGGTGTTGGCTATAACTGTGCCTGTCTCTGACACAGAAGGAAAACAAAAGATGTTGAATCTGGAAATGGGTGCTGAGAAGCCAAAGGGGATGGGAAGAAAGGCTAGATATGGACCCGTTGTTCAGGGCAAGGGTGTGTTTTGCATGCAGGCAGATCTTGGGGAAATGGGGCGAGGGAAAACATCTGATGGAAACGCTGAAGAAGCCATGCTGGTTGGAGTACTGCGCTAATTCCCGAAAAGGTGACCTTGTTGGTCTTTCAGGAAGAAAAACAGAAAAGGCTTGTGACACTTCAAAAGGACTAATCGGTTTTGTGGGCAGTGCAGCAGAGATACCCATTGATTTAGAAGGGTTTAACTGTTTAGGACTGTACCATTAGATTAAATGGTACATTAGATTAAATCATCAGATTTAGAATGGTCTGGCTTGGATTAAGATTCCTGCATATACATATTTTCAGGCCTTACTGGTCAAGGTGCATGGCTTTTGTTTCACAGATGAGCGGACCTGGGTTTTGAGTCCGGATAACATATCAGAGGTCTCCTCTTCAAACCTGGTGTGAGGGCCGGGCTTTAAATGCCATTTAGGAAGAGTTTGCGTGATGTGTAATTCAGCCAGAGTGGCCTCTATCCTAACCTCCTCCTAGCAGACTGAACAAAAGTCACCATCCAAATGCAGTTATTTCATATGAGACGTCAGGGAAACAGTATAACAGATAACTAGCCGGTCAGCATTTCAGGCAAAAGCTGTGCTTAACAGGATGCCCTTTTAAAAATGGACATATTTTAATATTTCTTGCACCAATTTACCTTCAGTCACACAGTGAAGATCTTTGGTGTTATGGTGGCAGCTGCTGCCAAAGCAATTAAAAAACAACAACCCTGCACAGCCAATCAACAACAGTTTTATTTTACAGTCAATGACCAGCATACACAAAAGTTTACATAAAATAAAATGATCAAATGTTGTAACTTTAAAAATTACACTCAAGCTACTGTATGCATTTTCCGATCTTTGTACACCTGGTGCACAAAATTTAGCCATTGTTCGGGGTTGTTTCATGGTTTATATCAGAAAGAAGATAATCAAGTTTAATTCTGTTTGATCTGCCGAGGAAATTTCCGATCAGTGGCTCAATAAATTTTGACCAAATTTCTTTGTGCCTAGGGCAGTTAAAGAAAATATGTTCCATTGAATCAATTTCCTTTAAAGAATAAGAACAGCCTGCGAATATAGGGGACTGATTTAAACCTTCCTTCCAGAACAGTGGAAGGTAGAGTTGAACTTCTTGCCAATGTAAAGGCCCTTCTGGAATTATTTGATTCAAGAAAATATAAATATACAACAGGAG